ACTAAGTAAAATGAGTCAGATGGAGAAAGCAAATACCATGTGACTTCACTTATATGTGGAATCTAAAAAACAAAACACACACACAAACAAAACAAAAACAAAACCAAGCTCACAAATACAGGAATGGACTGGTGGTTGCCAGAGGAGTGGAGGAATGGAGTAGAGGTGAAATGGATAAAGGGGAACACAGGGATGACTTAGTGGCTCAGTTGGTTAAAAGCATCCAACTCTTGATGAATTTCAGCTCAGGTCATGATCTTACAATTTGTGAGATTGAGCCCTGCATTCAGCTCTATGCTGACAGTGTGGAGCCTGCTTGGAATTCTCTCTCTCACCCTCTCTCTCTGCTCCTCGCACACACTCTTTCTCTCTCTCTCAAAATAAATAAATAAACACTTAAAAAGAAAACTGGATGAAGGGGAACAAATGGTACAAATTTCCAGTTATAAAATAAACAAGTAATGGAAATGTAATGTACAACATGGTGACTATAGTTAACAATACCATATTGCATATTTGAAATTACTAAGAGAGTAAGTCTTAAAAGTCTCATCACAAGAAAAAAATCTGTAACTTATGTATGCTGACAGATAGTAACTAGTCTTATTATGGTGATAATTTTGCAGTATATACAAATACCGAGTTATTATGCTGTACTCTTGTAACCAATATAATACTATATGTCAATTATACCTCAATTATAATAATAACAATAATAATGAATGCAAAGTAGTTGTTGGCCTTTCCCAGAAGGCAAAATCAGAATTGAGAGAGAAAGATGGGAGACCAGAGATCATTTGAGTTGGGGGTGGAGGGGCAGGTTGAGGGGGTTCATATCCACAGCTAAGTGGAGTCAGTAGGTTGGCCCTGGTTGAAGCAGAAGCAGAATAGGTAGGGCTTGAACAAGTCTGAGCATGTGGGATGAGGTGGGGATAAGAGAGGCAGCATCACTGAATACCCCTCAAGGGCAGAAAGGCCCTGCGATCCCCCTATCATAACCCTCAGCAGGCCAGCCTGCAGTGGGTATTAGTCAGGCAGATGCTGCAGAAGGCCAAGGGTAAGGGAATTTGGGTGCTGGTGAGAAGGTAGGGCCGGCACAGGTGGGGCTGGGTGGAGGAAGGGTTCAGAGAGAGAGAAAGAGAAGTGGGTAGGTACAGGGGCGCCTGGCTGGCTCAGTCTGACTCATGGTTTTGTGGGTTTGAGTCCCACATCGGGCTCTGTGCTGGCAGCATGGAGTCTGCTTGGGATTCTCTCCCTCTCTCTCTATCCCTCCCCTACTCACATGGTCTCTGTCTCTCTCAAAATAAATAAATAAATAAATAAATTTTAAAAATTAAAAAAAAAAAGAAGTGGGTAGGTAAACCATCCTTGGGCAGAGAGTGGAAGCAAGAGTGCAAGAACTGTGTGAAGGTAAACATTTCCAAAAGTGCAACTTGGAAATTTTTCATATATGTAAATTGTTTTGTCATTCTCTTTGGGGCTTGATCAGTAGATGAAGAATGAATGAATGCATAGATGAATGAGTGAATGACAACTAATAGATCAAAGGAAAACAGAAAGTGAGAGAAGTTGGAGAGAGAGACAGGCAGGGGGCAGACAGCTAGGTGACTAGATGAGTATAAAATAGCTGGACTGGGTGCCCAGGTGGCTTGGTAGGTTAAGCATCCAACTTTGGCTCAGGTCATGATCTCACAATTCGTGAGTTTGAGCCCAGCATCAGGCTCTGTGCTGACAGCTCAGAGCCTGGAACCTGCTTCGGATTGTGTCTCCCTCTCTTTCTGTTTCTCTCTCTCTAAAATAAATAAACATAAAAAAAAGAAATGTTAAATAAATAAACAAACAAACAAACAAACAAAATAGCTGGACTGACAGGTTCATTTTCCTCCCTAAACTCAACCTTTCTAGACTGGGTTATGTTCTCTGTATTTCTCCTCTTTTTCCTTCCTCTCTTTCATCCTGCTGTTATCTTGGGGTTCAGTGCCAAGGTTGGAGGGAGCTGGGGAGTTACTTTGTAAAGGGCTGCTTCTGAGGGCTGGCACTAGGGTGGGGCACTGGGGCTGGAGGGGGCAGCTTTGGGGATGTGGTGGGGGGGTGGTTTGCAACTGAAGCTGAGGGGGGAGGGGCAGGGAGAGGGGACACAGAGGTGCCCCAGGCATGGAAGCTGCAGAGGTGTCAGAGACGGAGATTTAATGACAACCCCGGGGTCCACCTGCACAGACGAGAAGGGCTGGGAGGTGGGAGCTGTGGGAAAATTGGAAAAAGGACACGTTCATTTTTCAGCATAGGTCTCTCTCCTTACACACACACACACACACACACACACACACACACACACACACACACCTTTAATAAAGAGCCAGAGGCTTGCTCTGTGCTGGCTCTCACTCCATTTACACAAAAGACCCCCAGGAAACAGGTTGTAAAGAGGGATAAAGAGAGTCCTGAGAAGGAATGGGGTTGCTTTCTCCCCTGGGCTTTGCCCCTCTCCACACACCTGCAACACCTGATTTAAGCTGTCCGCATTTTTGCTTGTAGATTTTTTTTTTTTGCAGTGGGTATAAGATCATTATTTTATTGGTCACCAACCACAAGTAATTCATTTTTCAATCATGACTTGTAAAGCACATCACCTACAGAGTTAGTTTCACTCCTAAGCTCTGATGGTCGTAACTTATGCCACTTGCTTGTGATGCTGCTGATTATGGATTGCATGAGGCCACTTGGCTCTGATGAACCCCTGGCAGTGGTCAGCGACAGATGCACAAGAATGGAGCTCATGGCAATCACTTTTGTTTGTTTGTTCACTTTTGCGTGTATGGTAAAATATGCATAACAAAAAATTTACCATCTTAACTATTTTTAAGGGTACAGTTCTGTGGCATTAAGTACATTCCCTCTGTTGTGCAACCATCACCACCATCCATCTCTAGAACTCTCTTTTCATCTTGCAAAATAAAACCCTATAGTCATTAAATAATAACTCCCCATTTCTCTCTCTCCCCCAGTCTCTGGCAACCATCATTCTACTTTCTGCCTCTGAATTTGATTATCCTAAGTACTTTATATAAGGGGAATCATTCAGCTTTTGTTCTTTGTTGACTGGCTTTTCTCACCTAGCATGATGTCCTCAAGGTTCATCCATGCTACAGCATGTGTCAGGATTTCCTTCCTTTTTAAGGTTAATTAATATTCCATTATATGTATGTATCACATTTTGCTTATCAATTCATCATTGATGACACTTGAGTTGCTTCCACCTTTGGCAGCTGTGAATAATGTTGCTATGGGGCGCCTGGGTGGCTCAGTTGGTTAAGCATCAGACTCTTGATTTCAGCTCAGGTCTCACGAACTGTGAGATCGAGCCCTACATCAGGCTCTGCACTGACAGCAAAGAGCCTGCCTGGAATTCTGTCTCTTGCTCTCTATATCCTTCCCCACCCCCTCAAAATAAATAAATAAACATTAAAAGAAATTTAAAAAATAATATTGCTATGAACATGTCTGAATCCTTGCTTTCAGTTCTTTTGGGCATTTACCCAGAAATGAAATTTTTGGATCATATAGTAATTTTACGTTTAATTTTTTAGGAATTGTCATACCGTTTTCCACAGCATCTTCACCATTTTACATTCTAACCAGCAATGCACAAAGAGTACAATTTCTCCACATCCTCATAAACATGTGCTATTTTCTGTTTTTGTTTTCTAATTTCTGACCAAGCCAGCCTCTGCTGACTGCAGAGCTTAGTGCAGAGGAATGTGGCACAATCAGTGGCCACAAGAGACTTTTGGCCCAGGCTTAATATGCATGAGGAGCCTGAATTTTGTATTTAAAATTTTATTTCCAATGAGATTATACACAGATGTTATATTTTTATACTACAATTAAAATAATGAATTTATTAATGGAAGCATCCAAATTATACATTTAGATGCACATTTAAAGCACATTGTTTTGGTATTAGACATGTTTAATGCACCTATATACTCAAATAAATAAAAGTAGCCTGGACTCTGTCAAACTCCGAGAGGCCCTGACTGGCTGCCCTTCCTGAAAACACCAGTTTTCACCTTACATTGTTGTGCCTCTGTTCTCTTGTCTATCTATTCTTCCTTTTCCCAGCCCCTCTGTGTAAGCCTTCATTCCCTAAGACTCATGGGGCCCCTCATCTTCCATTATCTCGCCCCACAGCCCCATGTCCACCATCTTCCCTATGACAAATGGTCCCCAAATCTCTCTCACACAAACAAACTTTCCTCCCAAGCCCAGATATGTATTTCCAACGGTGTAGAATTGGTTCCCTGAAAACAGACTCCAAAATGGAGATCCGTAGGCAGGAAGTTTTGGGGGGAGTACTCTCGGTATCAGCATCAATGGGGGAGGAGAGGAAGTATAATTGGGCAGATGAAGGAACTGAATGGTCAAAACAAAAGCCACCACCAATCCCGTAATGAGCTTGGGAATCTGGACAGCCTTCATATTTGTCCTGCTTTGAGCAAGGGGGCCTGACCTTTATATCTCCACTTTGGTTAGTCATTGATGTTGATTGCCTAGGAAGGCAGTGTGACCTTGGGCCTCATCAGCTGAGGACAGGTACAAATACAGACTGGGACTCAGTTGAGAGCCCTCAGTCACCAACACTTCCAGGATGGGGGAATGAGTGCTTTGGACTTGAAAGAGGGATCTGGGTGACATACCACAGTATCTGCTACACCAGCCCCCACTTGGACGTCCTTGGGTATCTCAAACTTGATATGCCCCAGACTGAACTGCCCCTGCTCCTTTTCTGGGTTCTTTCTCATGTTATTACCAAATTCTTAGGCTTGTCAAGTCTGAGTCAGTTATCTCCCCTCTCCTTTGCCCTACATCCAACTGACATACCTCATAAAGGATATTAGACTTGCCCTAAAGTCTCTTGAATTCATCCCCATCACCTCCTTCCCCATCCCCATGGACCTGCCTCAAGCCCTCACCAAGTCCTCACAACCTTGTTATAGCACTGTACTTCAATCACCTTCCAACAGACTCAGGGGAAAGAGCCACTTACCACAGAATAGGTGCTGCATGAAAGCTTTACTGGGATACTGTTAAAAAAAAAGAGAGTGATAGTCAACCTCCTCAGAAATTAGGAAGGAAGGAAGAGAAAAGGAGGAAAATTAAAATAACAGTTCTAATAACATATTGTTAACTGCATTATATATACCAATATAGAGTATATTTTGTTAGTTACATATACAATTATATCTAATAATTAGTGATTTTGAATTTATTAAATTTGCAAAGATGTCTTCATTTCTCAAGAGCAATAAAGACCCTTTGTTCTAGGAATCCTAACTGTTAGTTTGAATTATGAGGGAAAATATGAACAAAGATGTTAATTATAGCATTATTCATTATAGTAAAAAAAAATTGGAAGCATCTTAATTATCTAACAATAGGGTATGAGTTAAGTATGTTGTGGTTTGTTCTATGTAACATTATAAAATTATTAAAAATAATGGTCAAGGGGCACCTGGGTGACTCAGTTGGTTAAGCCTCCGACTTCAGCTCAGGTCTTGATCTCACAGTTCTGTGAGTTCATGCCCCACATAAGGCTCTCCACTGTCAGCATCGAGCCTGCTTCAGGATCCTCTGTCTCCCTCTCTCTGCCCTTCCCCCGCATGCACACTCTCTCTCCCTCTCTCAAAAATAAACAAACATTTTTTTTAATTAAAAAAAATAATGGTCAAATAGTGTAACAGCATGGAAAATGATGACTGCAAAGTTGAGTAAACAAAATTGGGATTTATCATACTTACACATTATGGTTGCGATGATGTAGAAAATGTGATTGGGGAAACAATCTGAAAGGAAATACACCAACATGCTAAGAGTCATTGTATTAGAGAAAAGAGAGTCATTCCTGATATCTTTAGCTACTCTTCTTTCACCATAATCTCCTCCTCATCTTTGGTATTGACAACATTATTTTCTTAGTATATAAAGTGCTATGGAAATGCAATTCCAAGATTCACTGCCTTCCACCACAATGCTACCTGAAACCCCTCTTACACAATAATTATGGAGTCACCACCAGCTATCGATAATCCCACAACCTTAGTTTACAACTTTGTAGTTGATGGCATTATTTTATGATATGATATGATATGATATAATGTAATATATAATGTAATATAACTATAATAAATAAAAATGTATCAGTGCTTTAGTTCTTTTTATTGCTAGGTAATATTCCATTGTATAGTTATACCACATTTTGTTTATCCATTCATCTGTTGAAGGATACTTGGGTTTCTTAAAAAAGAAACAGTAAGCTCAAAATGGCATCACTGGTGCTAAGCCTGCATTAGCAACCAAGACTTAATACCTAACCTAACTTCAGTTTCAGCTAGAATTTCTTCTTACCCCACCTCCTTCTGCCTATAAAATTTTCCATTTTGTACAGCTCCTTGGAGCTCCTTTCGATCTGCTGAGATGAGATGCTGCCCAATTCATGAATCATTAAATAAAGCCAATTAGATCTTTAAATTTATTCAGTCAGATTTTTTTTAAAGGTTGTTTCCACTTTGGGCTATTATGGGAAATGCTGCTGTGAACATTCATGTACATGTTTTGTGTGTGTGTGTGTGTGTGTGTGTGTGTGTGTGTGTGAGAGAGAGAGAGAGAGAGAGAGAGAGAGAGACTGTATGTTTTCAATTCTCTTGGGAATATATGTACTAAGAGTGAAATTAGTTGGTTGTGGAATTATAGTAACTCCATTTGAACCTTTTGAGGAATTGCCAGATTGTTTTCCAAGCAGCTGCATCATATTACATCCCCTCCAGCAGGTCACAAAGGGTCCCATTTCTCCACTCCTCACCAACACTTGCTATTATCTGTTGTTTTGGTTATAGCCATGCTTGGTGGGTGTGAAGTGACATCTCATTGTGGTTTGATTTGCATTTTCCTGACAGCTAATGATGTTCACCATTATTCATTTGTAACCAAAAGGAATTTTTTGACAAAATAAAGTTGAAATGTTCCCATTATAAAAGTAATCCATGCATATTATTAGATATTTTGGAAACGTCTCTTTTAAAAATTCAACCACACCCAAATAGCACCATCTAGAGGTGATCACTGTAAATATGTCAGTGTGGTTCGATTTTGTTTTTCCTCTCTACTCTTTCTAAAATATGCCTAAAGTCACATGACATTTGCAGTTTTGCCTCTGGCATTTCACCTAATGTGATAAAATGGGAATTTTCCCATTACTGGATGTAACAATTTCTTTAGCCATTCCCATACTGATGGGCCTCGGTCATTTCCAGCTGTATAAAATATTGTAAATAAAGCAATAGTACAGTGATTTGATACTGCCTTTCAATCTGTGTTCCATCTGTCCAGTAAAGCTGAGATCTTTGAGGACAAAGAACCTGTTTTCTCTTCCCTTTACATGCATTGGCATCCTCCTGGGACAGTCCTGGGTACAGAGGACTTACTGAGTCTTCACTGCAGGACAGGAACTCTTCTAAGTAATTGACACACATCAGTGCATTTAATCCTCACAACTTCCCCATGACTAAGTAATATTATTATTATCCCTACTTCACACACGAGGAAGTTGAGGTAAAGAAATTTTCCCAAGGTTATCAGCTAGTAAAGGACAGAAGTGGAATTTGAATCCAGGCAGCCTGGTTCCAGAGTCTGAACTCGTAACCATCAGCCATACTGCTTCCCTGTGATGGTGGAGGCAAAGGGAACTGGTAATGGGAGACAGTCATCTGGGCTTCGGGGATAGGTTGGTTTCATGTTTGAAACCTGGCACCCAAGCTTCATCCCTTAATTGGGAAGATCAGGAAGTCTTGGTGGAGGGAAGTGATTCAGATCCAATTTACGGGACAGCAACTTCCAACTGTCTCCAGCCTCACACCTTTCTCATCAGCCCACAAAGCACTGGAGTGGTCTTTCTCGGCTGCATATCCCATCTTGTCACTTCCCTGCTTTAAGCTCTCTACTGGCCTCAGGATAAATACCCAAGCCCATACTTGGCAGGCCTGGTTCTCTCTAGCTTCATCTGTCTCCTCTCTCCACCTGGCTTCTCCTCCTCTTTGCCTTATCCTCACATCCTACAAACCCCACCACACTGGGTCTCACTCTTCTACCTTTTGTACCAGTGCCCTGGACAGCTCTTTCCTACCTTGCCCCTGCTTATGTTGGCTGCCCTCAAAATCTGCTTAACCACTCCCCCTTCGAAAAAGCATGCTCCAAATCCATTGATTGGATTGTGTCCCCCTACTAGAGCTGTACTTCTCTACTGACACTCATCATATTTCTTGTAATTGCTTTTCTTAAAAACAATACAGAGGCGCCTGGGTGGCTCAGTCAGTTAAGCGTCCAACTTCGACTCAGGTCATGATCTTTGCAGTTCACAAGTTCGAGCCCTGCCTCAGGCTCTGGGCTGACAGCTCAGAACCTGGAGCCTGCTTCAGATTCTGTGCGTCCCTCTCTCTCTGCCCCTCCCCTACTCACTCCCCTGTCTCTCTTTCTCTCAAAAATAAACATTAAACATTTTTAAGACTTTTTTATGTTTATTTTTATTTATTTTGAGAAATAGAGAGCAAGTAGGGGAGGGACAGAGAGAGACGGAAACAGAATCCCAAGCAGAGCCCGATGTGGGGCTTGAACCCTTGAACTTTGAGATCATGACCTGAGCCAAAATCAAGAGTTGGATACTTTTTTTTTTTTTTTAATTTTTTTTCCAACGTTTATTTATTTTTAGGACAGAGAGAGACAGAGCATGAACGGGGGAGGGGCAGAGAGAGAGAGGGAGACACAGAATCGGAAACAGGCTCCAGGCTCTGAGCCATCAGCCCAGAGCCCGACGCGGGGCTCGAACTCCCGGACCGCGAGATCGTGACCTGGCTGAAGTCGGACGCTTAACCGACTGCGCCACCCAGGCGTCCCAAGAGTTGGATACTTAACTGACTGAGCCACCCAGGCACCCCAACAATACGTTTTTTTTTTTAACATTTATTCATTTTTTTAAAATATGAAATTTATTGTCAAATTGGTTTCCATACAACATTCAGTGCTCATCCCAACAGGTGCCCACCTCAATACCCATCCCCCACACTCCCCTCCCTCCCCCCCCCCACCAACCCTCTGTTCTTTGGTTTGGAGTTTCTGTTATGTTTTGGCTCCCTCCCTCTCTAACCTTTCTTTTTTTTTTTTTTTTTTTCCTTCCCCTCCCCCATGGTCTTCTGTTAAGTTTCTCAGGATCCACATAAGAGTGAAAACATATGGTATCTGTCTTTCTCTGTATGACTTATTTCACTTAGCATAACACTCTCCAATTCCATCCACGTTGCTACAAAAGGCCATATTTCATTCTTTCTCATTGCCACATAGTATTCCATTGCGTATATAAACCACAATTTTTTTATCCATTCATCAGTTGATGGACATTTAGGCTCTTTCTGTAATTTGACTATTGTTGAAAGCGCTGCTATAAACATGGCGGTACAAGTGCCTCCTGTATCCCTTGGGTAAATTCCTAGCAGTGCTATTGCTGGGTTATAGGGTAGATCTATTTTTAATTTTTTGAGGAACCTCCACACTGTTTTCCAGAGCGGCTGCACCAGTTTGCATTCCCACCAACAGTACAAGAGGGTTCCCGTTTCTCCACATCCTCGTCAGCATCTATAGTCTGCTGATTTGTTCACTTTAGCCACTCTGACTGGCGTGAGGTGGTATCTGAGTGTGGTTTTAACATTTATTCATTGTTTGAGAGACAGAGAGAGAGCACAAGCAGGGGAGGGGCAGAGAGAAGGGGAGACCCAGAATCCGAAGCAGGCTCCAGGCTCTGAGCTGTCAGCACAGAGCCCGATGCGGGGCTTGAACTCATGAAACACGAAATCATGACCCAAGCCGAAGTCAGATGCTTAACCAACTGAGCCACCCAGGTGCCCCAACAATACATTTTTATGATAGAAATTTCAAATGTAAGAAAAACAAAAGAGGATATGCTCACCACACAACTTCAGTTATCAATTCACATCGTCTGGTCTCCCCTGAGCTCCCAACTACTTCCCTCCTCCTGTAATTATTTTTAAGCAAGTAATATAGATTATTTCATTTCATCTGAAAATGTTTGATTTAGCAAGTGTCTTCTAAAAGATAACGATTTAGGGGTGTCTGGGTGGCTCAGTCATTTGAGCGTCTGACTTCGGATCAGGTCATGATCTCACAACTTGTGAGTTCAAGCCCCACATCGGGCTCTGTGCTGACAGCTCAGAGCCTGGAGCCTGCTTGGGATTGTGTTTCCCTCTGTCTCTGCCCCTAACCCACTCGCATTCTGTCTCTGTCTCTCTCAAAAATAAACATTAAAATTTTTTTTAATTTTTTTAAGTAAATAAAAGATAAGGATTTTAAAAATCAAAGTTATGGTATCATCATCATATTTTTTTAAAAAACCTATTATAATTTTCTTTTTTCAACCTTTTATTTTGAAAAATTTCAAACCTACCTAAAAATTGCAAGAGTAATTCAATGAGCAACACTAAAATTCTCGCCCAATTCACCAAGTTTTAGCATTTTGCCACATTTGTTCTCTGAGCCATCTGAGACTAATTTGTGAAAACCATGATCTTCCATTCCTATACATTTCCACATTTATTTCACCCAAACAAGGAGATTCTTCTATGTAACCATAATACACTGATCATATTCAAGAAATTTAAGATACACAGGATAAAATATGTATAATACAATCCATATTCACATTTTGCCAAATGCCCCATTGCTGTCCTTCACAGAATTTTTTTCCTATCTAGTATCTGATCCAGAATCATGCACTGCATTT